GCATTCATTATTTGTTTTTAATCAAAAAAATTTGGTTCAAACCTTTTTTTTTAACATTATCTTTAATATAAACACAACATGTGTTAGGAGTTTGGGATCCCTTTAAACTGAATTGCAAGTTGTTTAACAACAACTGCTTTTTTAAGAGGAGAAGTTGTTTAAGAGCACGTATTGCTTTTTTAATAGCTTTACCAAGTGTACAGAATGATTTGTAAGCTTCACCTAAAATAACATCATGTTAGATGTTATTTTAGATAAAACTCTACTCTTTTTTTTTCTTAACTTGTCCTTTAAACGTGCTTATTCAACATTAAAATTTCCTTTTTCCTTTTTCCGTATCGAGTCCTTTTCCTTTATAAAATCCGGACCAAACTTTTGCATTCGTTTTTCTCTGCCATTCAGCATGCGTCAGAGGCATTTTCATTACTTTCAACGAAGAAATAAACAATTTGTTTATGAAAGTTTACTTTAAGAATCATATAAACAATAAACATTCAGAATAACTTCAGAAATGGCGCAACAAAATTTAAGAAAAACTAAATAACAAAGGTGTTAATAAAATATGTCTACATATTTACAGGTACAAGTTTAATAAAAAAAAACAATGTTAGAACTAACATTATAATATAATAACTAACATTATAATATAACTTTATATTAAAGGAGGTTTCAAATTTTATTCAAAAATAAAAAACAATAAAAATACTACAAATGTTAAACCAACATGTTTTTTGCGTACATTTTTATAAAAATTAGTCTTTAAAAAATTTAATTTTAAAAAATGTCACGTCGTGTTGTCACAACGTGACATAAACTTAAGACACATAACACAAAAACTAAAAATATTTAAATTTAAATATCCATTGATATTTATTGCCCTATTTTAGTTACAAGTAATTTATAAATATTTATTTAAAATAAATAAATATTCTTATGCTAGAATGAAAAATATTACTATTAGTGTTATAGCGTGACATGTTTCAGCGTGACAAACTTAAAGAAGACCAAACAGAAATTTCTCAATGAAAGACTATTTAATTATTATAATAAATTTTCAATTTGAAAAGCAAGAGCCCCATCTATATTTTGCGTGAGATAAATCTACATAGAAATTTAAAAAAGTTTCAAAAAAAAAAGGTTTCAAAATGATTTACTAGAAAAATAATTTAAATTTGAAGTCTAAAAAATTTTGTTTAAAGTTTAAGTATCAAATCGTAAAATTCTTCTAAAACCAGTTCTACATGTTACATGTTTTTAGAAACTACAGACCTTTAACTTTTGAATGATACATTTAGTTTTCTTTTTTTTTTAATGTCTGCTCTCTCCCTCAAAATGTGTTCTTATGATAACACTGGATTTAAAGGTTTTTTTGAATAAAAAATAATTTTAGTGGTGCCCCAAGACCCTTGAACATTTAATAGATACCTAATATTAATAAGAAAACAGTGTATCAAAAGTATTGTTGGACCGAAAATTATTTAAAAACTTTAAAAATAATCATCATATCAAAAAAAATTATTAGTTTAGATTTTAGTAAACAAAAAATGATGCTTTTAACTAAAAACAAAAAATAAGAAATTTAATAAGAGTTTTTGATTATAATTTTTTTTTTACAATGTTTTTTTATAAAATTATAATTATTTTTAAAATTTTTACATAACTTCGCCTCTTTTGAGACCCAACATGAAATACTTTTGAAGAAATATTTTTTAGGGACCCGCCTGATGTTCAAGGGTTTTGCAATATAAAAACATATACAAATTATATGCTCAATTAGTTCGTGGCATGCTAATTTAATAAAATTAAATCAATTTTCAAATTCAAAAAAATAAAAAATCTTTTCCGAAAATCTGCACTTTCATTGCAGAATTTTGGAATAGATTTTTTATTTTTTTGAATTTGAAAAATTTTTTTATGTAGAATTTTGGACAAGTTTATTCAGTTTACCTTAAACTAACTTATATTTAAAACTATTTACGAACTTTAAATGCCTCTAAAATAACCTTATAATTTATGAAATGAAAAATATAACTTGAAATTAAAATATAAAATGTAAATATGTGAATAATATATATATGCTGTTCTTAACTAAATTTATTTTTCTGCCTTACAATATGCCATCACAGTAAAATTTGCTTGGTCTCAATTTTTTCTGCCTATGCTGTATCTAGTAATTTATATAACTATGGTTCTATATAATAAAATAATACTGGATTTAATAAATTTTTGAATAAAAAGTATTTTTTAGGGGGTTGCAAAAGACCCTTAAACATCACTAATATTATAAAAAAAATGATTATTTCTAAAGTACCATAGTCTTAAAAGGTGCAAAACTATTTAAAAGTTTCAAAACAAATCATCATTTTATAAAAAAAATTCTATTTTAGATTTTACTGCCTAGAAAATGAAATTTTTCAACTTAAAATGAAAAAACTTTATTTTTTCTTTTTAATTATAATTATTATATTCTGCTGCACTCAACATTTCAAAACTAATATAATCTGCAGTTGCTTTAATTAACAAATTGCTTTTTTAAAATATTATTTTTCTTCGAACACTTTGCTTAATTGCAATACATTACATTTTAATACTGAGACAATATAATTTATTTAAACTAAATGTAGAAAAAATTTTTTTTTTTCGAAAATTGAAAACTTAGAATAAAAAGATAGAACTTTAGAGAATCTTAAAGGAAAAGTTACGATAACAGTAGAACCTTAAATATTAATTTTTTAGTTATTTCAGGGTAAACGAATCAAAAAACAGTTTAAAGTTGAACTAATTATAAACTAATGCATTGTAAAAGTATATATACTAAGTACACAAAGATAAGTATATCAATAAAAGTTTAAAACATGAAATGCAACATATAAATTTGTGGTTAGTGAATTAACTTTAATTTCTATCAAATTCTACGATTTAACTCTTTGATCTTGGTTTAAATAAAATCGATAATTTTTACTTTGAGTTTTTTATATAAGAAGTTTTTTCCGTAATTTTTTTATTAAAAACAGTTGTATACATTACAGAAAACATTGTATATAACTTAGTCAAAATCAACACCATAAGATTATTAGTTTAAAAAGTGATTAAAAATACATTTAATTATGTTTATGTTTCTCAAAACATCTTTTAATGGAATGGTTGCATCACCTACAGCTTTAGCAAGATAATCAAAACTGGTTTTCTGTTTTCATTTTCAATTTTGGTAAGCCTCTCCGAAATCTTACACTTTTAACAATATTAGGCAAAATCTTTTGTACAACTTTGACACCAGGTTGCTTGGCAATGCTACTATTTTCAATTCATTAGCACAAAATTTAAGAATAAATAAATAAAAGAGAGTAATTTAGAACAGTAGGCTGAAAAAGTAGGCACTGTTAGCTTATATATATAATAGCTTATATATTATAATAGTAGCCACTGGTAGACGATTATAGTTAGCTCTGTGGGAATGAAATTCATCAAATATTTTACAAACTATTTCCCTATTGTTCAAGTCAGTAGTTTTTCCTACATGTTGGAAAAAAAAATGAAGGGTATGATCACTACAATCACAATATCAATTAAAGAATCAAGTAAATCTTTTTATATGCTTTCATTTACCAGATTTATAAACACTATAATTACATTAGGTCCATCAGAAGAAACTTGGAAGACTGGAGACCAAACAGCTTTAAATTATCATATTTTGAAAAAATGTTAGAAGCAAATATTTAGATCTATTTGACTTTTGTTAGATTTTTTATATGATCAGGTTCGGACAGGAATTTTGTGTGATTGAACGCTATTGCTGACCATGATTTTTTTGTTGACAACTTAACCACAACTGTTTAAATGTTTTGATTATTTAAACACTTCAGAAATGCGCTGAAAAAAGAAACGCTAGGCTAAACTTAACCTAGGAAAAAAATTAAAAAAACAAAAGAAAAAAAACAATTTCTTTCAAAAAAAGAAAATATATAAGCTTTAAAATAAAACTTAAAAAACTCTAACTTGAAGCGAAAGTTATTTTTTGCTATGTTTTTAATTGCATTTGATATAAATTACTTAAAAACTTATCTATTGAAACATTTTAGTACAGTTATGCAAAACACTTTTACAAATTACTTTTAATGATTGTTTAATAAATGAACAAATTTTATTTAAATTATTGAAAAGTGAAATTAAATTATTGAATAGAAAAAAATATTTTTAAATTGTATAAATATTTATTTTTTTTTTAAAGTTGCACAAAAATAATCTTCTAAAAGAATTTAGAAAGACATGGAAAAATAGTTTCAAACATTTAAATTTATCATAAAAAATACATATCTACTAAAAAATATTCAAATATAACATTTAATTTACACAAAATGCGCTTATTTTAAACGATCATAAATTTTTTATTTTATTGAAAGCCTTTACATAAAATTAAAACTTTAGAAAAGATCATAATATAACAATTTTTTTAACAATTTTTTTATTGCAATTGTTAAAACATCAAAAGCAAGATTGCAACATAAACTGCATTTTTATTTCACAAAACAAAATTTCATAAATCTCCAAACATAAAACAGAAAAATTCTGATGAGTGGTATGAGTAATTACATTTTAAAACATCTAGAGAGGATGCAACAAAATATATATATTATATATATTAGTGTGGCTTAAAAAAATGTTAAGGTGGAAAATTAAGTTGAAACAGGAACATCTATTCCAACTTTCTTTTTTAAAAAAAAAAATAATAAATAGGGTTAGTGCAATACCCTTGAACCTATAACAGGATTCTTAATATTATATAAAAAAAAAAGTTTCTCAAAAGTAAGTCAACCAGGTACTCAAAAGATGTAAATTTATATGAAAAAAATGACTATTTCATAAATTTCATATAAAGATTATAACTTTAGATCTTTTAGAATATAAAGCATTTTTAAAATATTTAGAAAAACATTGTTACTATTAAAATATTTAGAAAAAAGCATAAATAAGCATTAATAACATAATATAGATTTACTTACAATTTGACCATTTGATTCATAGAGTGGACACTTTTGCTTGATTTTAGTAAGCTTTACATCAACCTGATTACTAATTATTGTAACTGGATTTCCACCTAAAATAATTTTTTAATTTAAAATATTTTGAAAGAATTTTCTTTTAATGTTAAGATAAATTTAACATAATACTTAAACATTTTAAACATTTTAAAAGGCTTCTTATAAAGACATCTTATAAAACATTTTAAGCATCATAATTGATAATGCACTTATGTGCTTTTAAGTAAATTTGTATCAAGTATCAAGTAAGTCTTACGTTTGACCCAAAATTCTCAGAGAAAAAAACTCTCTCCAAGATTTTGGGTTTATTACAACTTTTAAAAGCATAATATTGTCATAATCACTAATACTCATAGATCATTCAGACCATATTTAAAACAAATTTTTTAAATTGTTTAGGTAAAATATCCAGAAAAAATCTGGATACTGGAAACCAATTTTCTTCCTAATTATGCTTTTAGATGAGTTTTTTTCTAATTATTTTTTTCAAACTTTTCTTAAGTTTGTATGAGGAATGAGTGAAATAGCTTAAAAAATGAAATATATTTAAAAATATATACCTAAACTTGTATGTATGGAAAATGTTTTGGATATCCGAAAAAACTAAAAGTTGAGAAAAATATCTGGAATTCCAGAAATATCTGGAAAAAAATAATCCCTGAATAATACATAAATAAAACATTTCTGCTGAACTTTGTCTCAAACTGAACTTTGTTTCAAAAAATTTTATTTTATTTCCTGAAATGAAGTTAACTGCAAAATGTGAGAAAGATTAAACACCATTTAAAGGGCCTACTAGTAAAAATAAATTATATTATTATTACCACTGTTTTTAATTTTATATTATTCCTAAAATACAATTTATTCATTTATTGTTAGAAAAGTGCATAATACTTTCTCTAAAAAGTTGCGATAAGACAGGAAATATTTAAATATTTATATCAGCTTAAACTGTATTTAATTATAAACATTTAAGTACTTGTTAAAGTAATTTAATTGTGTATTAAAAAAATAATTTAAATTTTATTAAACACATTTAAAAATGAAATTTAAAAATGGAAAAAAATTGAATATGAATATATATTAAAATATATTTAAAAAGTACTTGAAATTTTAGTATAAGCAATAACAGATGAATTGGTATTGGTTTATGGTGACCAAACACCAAAATATAGTACAGCTGCCAATGGTTTGCTTTCTTTGAAGATAGTAGAGAGAGTCTTGAAGATTAATTCTGATCAGGGCACTCTTGAACTATAAATATGGCTGAGAATATTTGATTAGTCATTTTACATTCAATGAGGTATTCAAGTCAAAGCAGATAAAGTAATCTATTTATGGACCATGTGTAACAACATTATGTCTATAAAAAGACAGTTAGATTAATGAATGTAAAAGTCTGTAACTGAAAAACATGTTCTACATCTTCAAAACAAGAGGTGCTATTCTTTTGGTTGAAAAAGGAGACACTATTACTAATAATTAGGCAAGAAATTATTTGAAACCTGTTATACATGAAATAAATAAGCAAAGACTTGTAATAGATACTAAAAATCTTAAATTTCTAAAAACCTAAATTTCTTAAATTTCTCCATGATAATGCTCAATGTTACTCAAACAGTCACAAATCGTGGCTAAAATTATCTTGTGGCTAAAATTTTAGGGATTTTTTCTTCCTGGGCTCCAATCATTGTAGTTTTTTGCAAGGTATCCTTATTTGACATGAGTATAGACATGCAGATGTTTGGAATTTGTTTCTATATATATATATATATATATATATATATATACATATATATATATATATATATATATATATATATATATATATATATATATATATATATATATATATATATATATATACATATATATATATATATATATATATATATATATATATATATATATATATATTTATATATATATATATTTATATTTATATATATATATATATATATATATATATGTATGTATATATATATATATATATATATATATATATATATATATATATATATATATATATATATATATATATATATATATATATATATATATTTGTTTACATATTGCTTTGATTCATTTTTATTACCAACTTTCCTTTTTTTTATAAACTATTACTAATTATTAGATTTGTTGATGATTTATATTTAATATTTTCTTTCAACATATCAACGTATATTACTGTAATATAGCACTGATTGATAAAGAACCCTGATTGATAAACAACTTTCATTGTCACTATGCAAATGCAAAAACCTTTAATATCAATTTGCAATTGCAAACAATATTCAATGTTTGTTTTACACTTGCAAGAATTTAAGTTTGATTTTGAAGCTATAACTTTTGAATTAACACTTGTTAATATGATTAATAATGTTCAAATAATGTTCTGAACATGTTAGACTATAAGGCTTTCTTTTTTGTTTTCTTATATATAAGGTTTTAATCTTTCTAATGTTAACATTTAACATTAATTTTAACATTGTTTCCAAATTTATATGTAAACTTATATATAAGGTTTTAATTTATCTAATGTTAACATTTAACATTAATTTTAACATTGTTACCAAATTTATATGACTGTTACTTTCAAAAAAAAACACAATCTTTTAACAAATCAACTCTATATTTTATTATTTAAACTTGTATGTAAAAATAAAAAATGAATTTTATTAAACAATGGTTTCTAATAAAAAGATTATTTTTCAAAAATTGACAGAAAGCAACTAGTGTGATTTTTTTTTCTTCTTCTTTACTTTTTAAACAAATTTAAAAAAAACAAACCAAGTCCTGTTACAACCATTGCACCAAGGTCAGCAATGAATTGACCAGATCGATAAGTGGCAACTCTTCCTCCGACGCGCTCTCTGCCTTCAAGCAAGAGAACTTCAAACCCAAATGATTGAAGTTGTCTAGCAGCAGTAAGACCTGAGACTCCAGCACCAACCACAATTATTCGAGGTGCATTTTTTAATGGCAATATTTTATTAACAACATTATACACACCAATATTAATTGATCCATAGCGATTCAAAAATGCATGTACTCTTTTTATTAGTATGACATCATCTAAATAGGATGATAAAAGGTAACATAATAAATAAGATAGTAATAAAGATATCATTATTTAAAAAATAAAAACTTTAAAAATAATAGAACATTAAGCCAACCAAACATAGAAAAGGAGTAAACCTCAAATTAGTTGAAATTAAAAAAAATGACACCACTCAAAGTAGTAAAAAGTAGCAAAAAATTACAGGACTTCTCAAAACTTAAAACCATTTATTTAAAAAGATAACAACACATAAAAAACATATAAAACAATAAGTCAAAGTTGTGAAAATGTAGAAAAATTAAAAAGATATTATTTATGATAACATTAACATAAATTCACATATTTATAGAATAAATTACTATATATCATTATACAGACTATTTAATTTTTAACACTTTAATTTTCTTTTTATTTCTAAATAACTTTTTTGATGGAAATTAAAAATAATTAATACAATATTTTTTATTTTCTCTTTTAAAATAAAACATGTCAGTATATTTTGAAGTCTCATGAGAACAATTCTTTACTTTATAACTATTCTTTTAAAAGCACCATTATCCCAAAAACAATGTATATTTACAGGTTACCCTAATAAGCAAATATAAATACTATTATTTATTCAGAATAAAAATACCATATATTTTATAAAAATTATTTAATTATAAAACATTATAAAAACTAAGCTGATAAAACAACATATTATTGAGAACAGAAAATATAAATAGATATCTCACCATTATAAGGAGGCTCAATATTTGAAATAACTGTTTCACAGACCAATTCTTCTCTAACATTGCTTAACCAAAGTTGAAGCTATATATATATATATATATATATATATATATATATATATATATATATATATATATATATATATATATATATATATATCAGCAGTATAAGATATATACATATCAGCAGTATAAGATATATACAAATATATATATATATATATATATATATATATATATATATATATATATATATATATATATATATATATATCAGGGTGTAAACTAGCCCTGTGGGGCCCTGTCGAATATGGTATTCCTAAATGCTCATAAAATTAAAATTCCCAATTTAAAAGTAAAAAAATCCCATTCTCGAAATAAAGTTTGCCTAAGTAAAGTTTAATAACAATTCTAAAAATTATTGAAAACTAATTACTGTTGAAATCTAATAAAAGAATAACATACAAAATTGTAATTTATTGTTTAAAACTTGAAATAAAATTGCCGTTATTGGTATAACTACGCGCTTGCTTAACTGCAAAAACGTCTCTTGGAAAAAAACTTTTTGAGAATTGGGATTTCGAACAATCCCTAAAACTGCTCGGAAAAAAAATTAATTTCTCAAAATTGGCAAATAATTTTTTGCAATGCATTCCAACAACAGCAAATATTATTAAAAAAAAGTTATTGAGAAAAAAAGTACAATTTAAAAAAATTACAAATTTGTTTGGTTTAACACCCACAAATGCTATTTCTTTAAAAGTTTTGCCCTTTTTGGATGAAAAGTTATATAAGTTGAATAAATATTTTTTGATTATAAACTGGTTATAGAAATTAATTTAGTAAGGAAAATAGATTTCTTAACTTTACTGGCTGCTTATATTTAAAAAGTAAATTAAATATGTATATTAAAACATAAATTAAATACTTTTAATAACAAGAATGTTCTTATTTTTTATTACAACAAACTGGTACTAGTAATTTAAAAAATAAGAAAGCTAGATTCACTGCTTAGTCACTGCTTCGTCCATAAATTATGTAACCACAAATTAAACTTATAGACGAAAGACAAAGGGTTAAAAGTTTTTAATCCTTTGTCTTTCGTCACATCATCACAGAGTCTTTAATTAAATCAAGTATATAAACAAGTAAATAAATCTTTCAAGTCCAGCAAAAACCGCTGTGCAAAAGAGCAAAATGATCTTCTACTTAAATTTTTTAATAAGTTTTGCATTGTGTAAGTTATGGACGATCCCTTACTTGAATTTAAAACATAAAAGCAAATTTTAAAAAATTCAATAAACCATAGTCATGACAACATTTTATGACTATGCATGAAAAAATAAATATTGGTATTATTTGCTGACACAATAGCGTACAATCGCTTCTGATCTTTTGTAATTCTTTTGTAATTAAACAACATTTATTGTTGTTTTTGCTGAGACTTTGTAGTTGTAATTTTATTTTGCTATGCGATTTATGTATTAAGAAAGTTAATATTAATTATAAAATTAAACTCGCAATAAATGTGAAATATGAAATTTACAAGTTTATTATTTTCAAAATCTTTTTTATTTTTTTATTTTTAAAACATTTCTTTTGATGACACAATTTATTACATGATGGTGTAAGGGTTCCTCCATAAAGGACGTTAAACAGAATTTAGATAATAATTAGAAGTAGAAGATCGCTATATTACTTTAAAAATTGCTATATTACTTTAATAATGGCCCTTTAATGCCCATCGGTGGAAAAAATATATATGTATTCAAAAGAATACTCTTAACATGAAAGCGGCAACGATATATTAAGATTAAAAGTAAATCAAATATTTTTAAAAATAATCAAAAAATTCTTAATAATAATTAATTAATACACACTGATTATTTTATAATATAAAAATATATAATTCTGAATATATCTTTGCAAATTGAAGCTTAATTTGCCTTGTCGTTGAGAAACCACGTTTAATTTTGTGTTGATTTCATATTCATCTTCAATAAATGGGTTTAAACTAAATTCCAGTGAGCAAATCCAGGTTTTGCATTTTTTATAAAATCCTGACCATAATATAATAATTGCTTGAGTATTGAATTCGTTTTTAAAAGTAATAAGTTATAACAAATTTTGCTATAATATATTAAAAATAATTATTTAATATAATAAACATATAAAAATTTTTATCTATCACAAATTATTATAAAAAAATGAGTATAAACAGTTAAAATAAATCTTAATAATTTGGGTCTTGATTTACAAAAAACGTGAAACTTGCATTTGCTCACTGGAAAAAAGTATCGATCCAATAAATGTTACACACAGTATTTTGTTTTATTTTTGGCGCTTAACACATAGAGTGCTAAAGTGGAGTAGAAGAAGAAAGAATATAAGAAAATGACCCCACACATTCCCAGTACACATTTTAATCTCAGGGGAGGGAAAAGAGGGGGGGGTTGATATATTTGGGAAATTTTTTGACAAATTCCCAATTTCATCAAAACGCTGTATCAAATTTATTCTTTTGATTTTAAATGTTGGTTTTAAAGATTTTGGTAAATGAAAACAGTTCAAATGTAAAACTTTTAAGCCCAAAATCAAAAAAATATTAAAAAAAAAAAAAAAAAAACAGCTCACAATTCTATTGCGGATATAAAGAAACTTCTTTTGCAATGATAAAGTACCCTGACTGATATCTTGAAAACAAGATGTTTCTTGAGCGGTCATTTGATCAGATGGTAAACGAGCGCCAAAAGCTGCACCTTCCAGTGCTATTGAAATATATATTACAATAAATACAAAGAAAATAAACAAATATAAAAACAATTAAACAATTGTGACAATCTAAAGCATGCGATCATTAAATTGGGAACAATGAAAAATTAAAAACATATAATAAAACTAATGCAAAAACTTAAATATTTATTTTAATCTAAGGAACTTGAAGATCATAAAAATGCTTTTTATTTTAACAATTTTCATTACTTAAAATAAATAAGCAAATATTTATGCTAATCAACGACATCAACTTTTGTGTCTTTGGTCTTTTTTTTCCTACTAATATTCACTATCTAATCTTTATCTGTACTTATTATGATGCAACTCTTGCACAAATATCCTTTGCCAATTTCCCAATATTTATCAATGGGATTGAACTGCAGCCATTTTGGTGGATCAGCTTTTTGTGTCAAGCTTTTGGGTATAAATTTGATGTCTCTTGAATTGCACCACTTTACTGAATTCTTATAATAATTACAAGAAGCACGATCAGGCCAAAACCAACAAGGGACATCATGACTTCAATAAAATGGCAAAAGTCTAGCTTGCAAGCATTCCTTGATGTAAATATCCAAGTTTAAAATTGGCAATGTGATGAAAGCTTAGAATCTCAAACCGCAGCTGCATATTGCTTGCCACAAGAGAAGTTTCTTACAAAATTAATTCAATGATTTATACTTAAACTTGTTGCTGACACATATAATCCTGTTTGGTTCATTATCTGTTCAATAAGCTGAGATTTTGCATGAATTATCTGTTCAATAAACCAAGATTTTCCGTGAATTCCATGTTCAATAAGCCGAGATTTTGCATGAATTAGTATTGTTACCAATATCAAAAAAGTTGACTAGTCAAAAGTCAAAATTAAACAGCTTTGAAAAATTAAATAATCGATTTATTCGACTATGGACTTCCTACTAATTGACTAAAAGTCGCTTTAATCTAGTAAAAATTTTAAAATGATATATAAAAAGTAATTTGATTTAACTTTTAAATCTTTTACTTTTTGTTTGTTAATTTTATAACAAATCATCTATAAAGTAGATGAGTTTTCATAAAAAATTACATAGCATGAAAATCATATGATTTATGATACCTTTATTTATACCTAATTAAACTTTTGGTTATACATTTCATTTTTTTCTTTTTTTTCTTTTGTTTACTCAGTGCTGATACAGTGTCATTCCAAGCTGGCTCGGAACCCTGGGGCAGAATTTAGTTGTGAAACTCCAAAATTTATATATCATTGATACATTCACTTTGAAAAAATGATTGTATAGACTTTTTGATATATAGCAAGTATTATTGAGGTCTGGGAATAAATTATCTCGTCAAAGTGTAATATTATTTTGCTCCATTTTTATTTAAACAATATGATGCTAAAAAATAAAGCGAATATAAATTATTTTTTTATTTTTAATAAACTTTATTTCACAAAAATAAATTTTTCCCATATTTCGACTAAATCGACTTTTAGTTGACTTTTGAAAATATATTAGTCAATTTAGTTGACAGTTGAATTAATTTAAAGTTGTAACAACACTAGCATGAATGATCATCAAATACTAATTGCTACTTTCTTATGCTTAAAGTCACTCTTCCTTCCAGATCTTTTTTTTTTTCATTTAATAAAGAGCTCTTGTCACAGTGAGCCATAAAGATCGTCAGGTTTGAAATCTCACCACCTCAGATTTTTTTTCTTTTTCAAGTAACCTAAGTTTGTATAAGTGTTTTTCAAGTGCAAACCAAATCTGAACTCGATCAGAAGAGTTAGCATTTTAAGTTTAAAAAAAGTAAAAAGGACTAAAATTTTAGCAATTAAAACGATGTAATCAACCATTTTCGGCTTCTTTTTTAAAAGTAAATTTCAACTGATAAGAAAAATAATTGGAGAAAAACCCACAGAGCGGTAAAAATGGTGGATTTGACGCAGTCTGTTTGTGCAGTTTGTTTGGAAAAAAAAGGCGAATATTCAAAATCGTTATCAAAAGTACAACCATCTCTAGCAAATAAGATCAAAGAGTATATTTGGCCTGAGTACAATAAAGATTTTATTTTTTGCCCTGACGTAATATGTTCAAATTGTAGAAGAAACATATTTTTGCTGGAGAAAGGATCAAGTACTTATCTGTCAAACTGGATGAATAAAGTATCTCAACTACAGAGTTTATTAAATTCAAATGATAAATACATAAATTACTAAAAAATAATTTTTTATAAAGTATATGCTTCTGAATTAGGTTGACAGGCCAAGAATTAGACGCAGTACTGAACTTAGCGATATTGTTCAACCATCTCGTGGTAAAACACTAGCTGTAGAATCTCTAAAGGAAAATATATGTAGTTGCTGCTTTTCTCTCCTTGCAAGAGGTTTACAAATAAATATTAAATTATTTGATTAGTAAACAAAAAGTTGTCAAATATCTATAATACTATATACTTTATACTATAAACTATAATACTATACTTTATACTATATACTATAATACTATACTTTTTTTAACGGACTGTACTTAGTCGTTAATCAAACAACGTAATTGGCCACAGCCAATTTAAAATTTGATTTTGTTGGCTGAAAAAAATAGAGAGTTTGGTAAACCAAAATTCTCTTGTCTAACTTAACAGCAACAACAACTTTTAAAGCAAACAATAAAGCAAACAAAAAGTTGTCAAATATCAAACATGCGGCAGTGGTGTAGTGGTAAGAGCGCTCGCTTTGTAAGCGAGAGGTTCGGAGTTCGACTCCCACCACGTCCCTGGAAGTACCGCGCTCAACTTAGTTTCTCCGCGCAGCGGCCTTGCTTGTCAAGGTTCGTGTTTCGGAGTTAAAGAGTTGAGAGAGGGTTGTACCACGAAATACAACAAAAAAATATAAAACACAAAAAAATGAGTAGCCTCCTCGACTGTAGTGGCCCCCTCGGGCCTTGGGGAGGTGAATAATGTAAAAAAAAAAAAAAAAAAAAAAAAAAAATCTATGTATACATAAATATTTAATTATAATTATGTAAACTGTAAACAATATGTAGAATTATACATAATTAGTTTTTTTTAATTATAATTTATATAACTTCAATAAAAAAAACCTTATTTTTAAGCTTAATAAGTTTATATAAATTTTATATTTAATTTTATTCTTCAGGAGGTCATAGCAATTGTAGTTCTGGTCAGGCTGTTTTAAACCTAATTAATTTGTCAGAAAATATTCCACATTGTGTGAAAACATTCCACATCATGTGAACAAGTTGCTTCAAGCATTATTAAAAACAAGATGAAGCGAGAAGGCATAGAGAGAGGCCAATCCTTTAAAATATCTACAGGTAGCTAAGTTTTGGTAATGTTGCAGAATTGTGGCATAAAATAATTTTATTTGTTGACTTGCTCAAAGTGGAGACTGATATAAACAAATGGAGTATTTATTGGCTTCAGTACATACATCGACTATCTTATAGATCGCTGCTACAAGGGAGTGTTGCTACATGAACTATCTTATAGCCTGCTGCTACAAGGAAGTACCGCTACATCGACTGAGGGTTTGGCATGGGGCAGCAATCTTTTTTTTTTATTATTTCAATTAATATTTTTAATAATTAATAAGCTTCCACCGACGAGAGCGCAATAAGCAAAAAAAATATATATATTTTATGCCACTATTCTGCAATATTACCTTAGTTTTTTATTTTCATTATAAAATTGTTGATAAAAGATCTAAATAACCATATAGTCTATATTATATATTATAAAACTTAAAGGCGCACAAAAATAGATATGAGGCATATAATTTAACAATTATTTTGATTGCTATTTTTTTTTTTGAAATATTTGTGTTTTAACTTTAGTTATGGTAAAAAAATGTATTTAATTTAGTTATACTTTATTTTTAAGGTGGGAATCCATTAACTTTAACCGTTGGAACTAAAGATAATAAATCTTCCAGAAAGTCTTTCAATCAGATATCATTCCATACAGTTATGGAGTTAACTTCTATACTGGAATTAACAAAAAATCAAATAAAAAAATGATATCAAGTCTGCGTAAGATTCTAGAGTCGTCTACTGTTGTTGAGAACAATGTAGTTAGCATGATGACATCATTGCAACAAGGAATTAAAAAATATAAAATAGATCAAGATGATTTTATTTGGAATGATGAAACTGTAACAAGAGATATAGTATTTATTCATGACACTTCTGAATTTATTCTTAGTATTTTAATGGAAAGAGATTTAGATCCACTTTCCAGTATGGTACGTGTATCCATTGATGGAGGTCAAGGATTTCTTAAAGTAATTGTAAATGTCTTTGACAAGACCAATAACAATGAGATACACATCAACAGTGGAGTTAAAAAGTATTTTATACTTGCTATTGTTGAAGATATTTCTGAAGACCATGGAAATCTGCAGAAAATCTTGAGTAGATTAAATCTAGATGATGTTACACATCACCTTGCATTTGATTTAAAATGTGCTAACAGCATTTTCACTTTATCTTCTCATTCTGGTAAATATGCCTGTTTATGGTGTGAAGGTGAACGTACCCTAGAAAGTGGTATTCCAAGAATGTTAGGGTCTCTTGATGATTGGTACAAGTTATTTGTTGATTTGTTTATGGGGCAAAGTGATTGCAGATAAAAGATTTTCTAAATGTGATTAGTCCTCGTCTTGTTTATTTTAATAAAAATCCTGAAGTTGAAATTAATCACTTAGTTCCACCACCAGAATTACATTTTCTTATGGGGATTGTGACACTACTTGGTAGACTACTTTTAGATCATTGACCTTTGTTTACGAATTGGCTTAAAGAGCATTATATTTTACTTCGTGGTTGTCATGGGATAGGCTTTGATGGCAATAATGCCACAAAACTATTAGAAAAAGTAGATATTTTAGAAAGAGATATTTTAGCATCTCAAACTAATTTGATACCTATTGTTCATTGCCTCAGAAAGTTTTTGAAAGTTAAAGAGTGCACATTTGGACAAGAATTAGGCAGTAATGTTTCTTCAGTTATTGAAGAGTTCAAAGTATCATTTTTTGACCATCGGCAGTATACAAAAATACATTTAAATGCAGAACTGAATGTTACTTGGAAAGTACATATAGTGGTTTGTCATATTCTCTTATTTGTGAAATTTAACTATTGTTCTCTTGGGTCATATGCTGAACAAATTGGAGAGGCTGTTCACAGTGTCTTTAAACCAAGTTGGTCTCGATATAAACGAAGGATTGGGCATATAGATTATGGTAAACGATTAAAATCTGCCACTGCCACTTTTTGCATAGATAAGATGTAAATATTTCAATATATAAAGCCTGTTCTCCATTCAGAACTTTTTGCTCTTTGGAGGAGCGGAAAAGTTCTTTGAGCATGCGCAAAAAGTTCTGATTGGAGAACGGGTTTAAAAAAACTGTTTGCCCATGCTCAAAGAACTTTTCCGCTTCCCCAAACCGCAAAAAGTTCTGAATGGAGAACTGACTTAAGTAGTTGTGTTAATATTTTTATTGCATTTATTGTTTTTTCCTTGTTATTTTTCCTTTGTATTATTACTATAAGGGACTTTAATGATTTAAGTTTGAAGTTATAGATTATATCATAATACTTTAAAGAGGATAATAAGGGATATTGATTTTTAAAATAATAATAGAAGGGGTTACTTTTATAGGGGGTAAGTTTATTGCTTTAAGGGGGTAAATAGGGTTAAAAATTTTTTTTTTTGGTACTTCTGATCTACTTTAGATTTATCCAATACACAAAAATAACATATTTTACCAGCATTTATCTTAATATAAAAAAAAATTAGAGGTAGGGAGAAGTTCAACCTGGCGGACTTTATGGCACACAGTGTTGTATTGCTTTACAACCATAAAAACAGTAGTTTTGCTAGATTCAGATGTTTTAGAGATTGAAAGTAATGATGCAGAAGGATTTTGTAGATAGTTAAGCAGAATTTTTTTCATTATAGTAACTGGGACAGTCAAAATCTCCTAATTAAAATGTCGATGACATTTTAATGAATTGAATTAGGAGATTTTGACTTGTTTAGTAATGTTTTTTAATTTATACTATCAATACTTAATATAACTACGCAGAAAAAATAATTTTTAAATGTGCTAGTTTTATAACCAAATTCATTGTTACAAATTTAACAATCGCATGTTTTATTTATATCTTTTAATTAAGCCCTTACAATAAAACTAAATTTTTGCAAAATAATGTTAATAAAAAATATTAACACTTGTGAGTCAACCAAAAAATGGCTTAAATAAATTTCTTAAAGAAACAGTCAATGTTGATTGATCAAATGCTGATTTATGAAAAGAGTTGATTGAGCAAATTGCAACTCTGTCAGGAAATGTATTTAATTTAATACAAATCATTTGTTAGCTTTTTCATATCCCTAAAATTGGTTAATATGATGTTTAATGGTACCTCATGTTTAATGGTACCATAAAAATAATCACTTTTAACATTTACATGGTATAAGAATACTTATATAATGTAAGAGTTAAACTAAATTTTTATATCATTTTCAACTTCATTTTAGTTATGCTATAGGGTAATTCCATGTCAATAAATTTCAGAAATCACCTTATATCTCAGACTTTGCTAATTTTTATACAGTTAAGAGTACTTAGTAAAATAATTTATTTAGAGGTTTCAAATAACATAACTTATTATTACATAAAAAAATTTGATCTTTTTACTTAAAAATTTGTCAATGCCCTAGATACCAGGAGGGGGAGGGGGCTGGGTCATAAGCCTCACTTTTTTGTTGCAGAATCTCGTGATTTTTCACTACTTTCCAGACTAAATGGAGTCCTGGAACTTTCGGCACTTGTGTAGTCCTGATAAACGTGTATTAAAATTGTTTCTAGGGCAGATGACCAGAAATAGTCCAGACCAGGTCCATTAGGTCGGGCTATGCCCCACTTTTCTCAAAAAAAAAATTTTTTTTTCATTTTTTATAAAGTAAAGATATCTTTGAAAATATTGTCTTCAAAAATTTTTTTGGTTTATACTTATTCTGTTCAGTTTTTGATTCTGTATTAAATGATCTTTTTTAAAATGTTTTAAGAAAGTACATATGTTTATAAGATTTTTGATTTGCAAGTATATGGATTGAAAACAGTCATCCATCTAAAATGATGATTTTAACAGAATTTTACAATGTATAACTTAAAACTTTTTGAATTGAAAAAAGTTGATCTTTTTTAATGCTAAAATGTTAACATTGTTTAGGTACTGTACAAATAAAGAGATTAAGATTAAAGAGATTATTTTTTTTTAAGATTGAAAAAGAAAGACTGACAGAATTTTGCACCACTTTGAAAAAACGTTTTCAGCTAAGTAGAACATTTCCTGAAACTAGGAATTATCATCAATTAAACCCAGAATCTATTGATACTATTAGCTTTAAATGAACAAGTGAAGATTTTAATATAAAAGGCTTGTTATCTTTTTCTGGTATTCAAAGTATTCAACCTAATTAGCAAATTAACATCAATACATTGAAATTTGGTGAAATTCATCTGTGTAAATATGATACATTTCATTGGATTGGTATGATAAATGAAATTGACAATATTGAGCAAGATATTTTGCTAACACTTATGCACCCGCATAGTTCTTTTAACAAACCTTTCTGGCCATCAAGAACAGATGAGTGTTGGGTTCCAATTACCAACATAATTTGTATTATGTGTATTTGTATGTTTGTATATGTATGTATATAATTTGTATATGTATTGTAATAATGTATATAATTTGTATATGTATTGTAATAATGTATATAATTGTATATGTATGTATATATTTGTATGTTTGTATATGTATGTATATAATTTATATTATGTGTTATTTGTACTATTACCAACATAATTTGTATTTAAACACCTGCAACAACAACTGGATGTATTTTAAAACTTTGGATGTAGTAAAAATTTTGAAGACAATATTTTTAAAGTTATCTTTACTTTATTGAAAACGCTAAAAAACTGGAGTACTTGTCCCAGGTCCCTCCCCCTATCCTCCTCCTTGATGTCTTGGGCCCTGAAAATAATTTTAACATTAACTGGTACTACAGAAATGCCAAGAGTTTTAGATCTCCAGCTAGTCTAGAAGGTAGTGAAAAATAATTTGCAATATTCCACTACAAAAATATGGGACCGTGCCCCATTATCCATATATGGAAACCCAAAAACTTGCATACCAATATCGATGAATATAGAATGATGTAAAATTTTTTTTTTTGATATCATTAAAGCCACATGGGTTTCTTTAATATTAAAAACAGGTACATAACAAATTGCCTAAATTTATTTAAATAGATAATTACAGGTATTTAATAATAACTTTTTACACTTCTGTTTATTTCATTGGATTTGTCACCCCTGAAAATTGCCAGTTACAAACTTTTAAGTAAAAAAAGATTAAATTTTTTTAAAGTTGTGACTTGACTTGAAATCTCTAAATAAATGTTGCAATTCTGAGGGGACAAAAGGGGCCTGTCCAACTGTTTAAAGTAAAATGGTCATATTTTAGGATCTTTTTGGAGCCAGAGGCTAAAATTTTCAAGGAACTGTTATTTTACTAAGCACTTACAACTGTATAAAAATCATCAAAACCTGAGATGCAGGGTACTATGACCTGGGTTATTTGACATGGAAATACCCTTTATATAATTATAAAACAACTATTGTATATATAACAATGCTTTATATAATTATAAAAAAACTGTTGTATATATAACAATGCTATATTTAACTATAAAAGAACTTTTATATATATCGATGTTATATATAATTATAAAAAAACTGTTACATATATGGATGCTATATAGAACTATAAAACAACTGTTATATAAAATGATGCTATATATAACTATAAAACAATTGTTATATATAACAATGCTATATAGAAGTATAAAACAACTGTTGTATAAACAATATTTAACTTTAATATAACTAAATAATTCTTATGTCATTTTCAATTTCATTTTAGAAATATTATATATATACAACTATATATAACTACCTATATATAACTACCTATATAACTATATATAATTAAATATTAACTATTTATTTAATTCTTACATAAAAGTTCAACATAAGAATGAAAATATGCTTTTTTTTATTATGAATACTACTTGCATATGGCACTTTTTGCTTAAATTATTAAATAACATACAACAATATTATGTGTAATTCAAAACATTAATTTTAGAATCAATGAAAAATAGCAAAACTAATCACAATGATCCTTACTTTAGCTTTACCAAGAGCCAATCCAATGGCTCCAATCTCCCTTTCCCCTTTTAAATATTTTGAAAAAAATTTGTTTTTGTAAATTTATATATTTAACTAAGCAACTGTTTAAAAATAGAATTAATTTAGGGAGGCTGCTTAAATGTGATAAAAAAAGTTAAACAAGTTTGAGGTATAAAAAAAATCAGACTGATGGGATATTGTTATATAATTAATTTTTCTTTTTTATCTTCGCTCCCAACAAGGCTGCAAGCAACCACTAATTAGAGTTAGAAGTTACTGGAAGAGAAAAGATGAAGATTGTAGAGCAAGATAGCAATTGACAGACGACTTAAAAGATTGCAAATTATATGAATCAGGAAAGCAAGATGAAGGAAGCCAATTCCAAAGAACTAATGTTCAAGGAAAAAAACTAGACAAATAAGAGTTTTTGGAGCACTTAGGAACAGTCACAGAAAAAGGATGAAATTTAATTGAATGACCAGTAACACGAGAATGAATTTTAGTAGATGGCACAAGAGATGCTAGCTCTTTAGAGCAGTGTGCATTATAGTATTTGTAGAAAAGAGAAAGAGAAGCAACATTACAATAATGTGATAATGGTTGAAGGTTGGCTGCAAGAGCAGTTTCAACTATGTTTACAATGCGTTTTAACACCTTGTCTAAAAGAGAAAGAGCATCATTAGAAGATCCGCCCTACATATAGCAACAGTATTCCATACAAGGCCGGATTTGAGATTTATAGAGATAGAGAATAGAATCTGGAAAGTAAGAAAGTGTGGAGCTCGAAAAAGAGATGCAACCTTAGCAGACGCTAATTTTGCAACGGATTTGATATATGGTTTTCAATAAAGATTGAAAGTAAGAGTTAATCCTAGAAGATTAAGGGCAGATGACTCATCGAGTACATTACCGTTCATAAATATAGCAAGGTCTAAATTGTTGCGATAACAATTGGCTGAAAAAAATTGAGTTTTACTTGAACTAAAACTTACCAGCCACTGTGAGCCCCATGCTATAGCAGAAGTGAGATCTTTTTTAAGCTCAAATGCCTCCTCTAAGCAACCAGAGAGTGTTGACTTCTTATCAAGACAAGAATAAATGGTAGTATCATCATCAAAAAATGCTACCTTAGATGTGAGAATATCTGCAAGATCTTTAATGTGAACTAAAAAGAGTATAGGGCCAAATATATACATACTTTCATAGCTTTTTCAAATAAACTTTTTTAATTTGTGTTTCCATAAATTTTGAAATTTGAAATTTTTATAAAATCTCACTTTTTTTGAGACCCAACATGTTATGCTTTAAAAGAACTTTTTTTTCAGGGACTCGTCTCATGTTTAAGGGTCTTGTGGCACCCCTAAAAATATTTTTTATTCAAAAATGTTTTAAATTTTTATTTTTTTAAATATTATTTTATTATATAGGGGGTGTCAGCAGACATTTTTAATAAAAGTTGTATATATATATATATATATATATATATATATATATATATATACAATTTTTAATAAAAGTTGTATAAATATATATATATATATATATATATATATATATATATATATATTATTATCACCCTAATATATATATATATATATATATACATATATATATATATATATATATATATATATATATATATATATATATATATATATACATATATATATATATATAAATTGATCTCAATAAAAAAAAGCAGCGTATAATTATTTGCAGCTGTGGCACAGTGGTAGCGCACTTGCCTCAGAAACGTAAGATCCGTGGTTCAAACCCTACCTCTGAGCAAGTTTTGCGACATCGGTTAGGAAGGAGGCGTGAACTTCCTATTGAATGCTCTTCCGCGGTGCTCTGTGATAAGTCCGTATGGACTTCTTGGGGCACCTAAAACAACTTTTAAAAAAAAAATTTTAATATATTTTGATATAATAATTTAAAAATATGATATAATAATATATTAACATATTATTATATCAAAATATATTTAAAATATAGTTATACCCTGCCTTTTTTATTGAGATCTATTTATATATTTATAAAATTATAGTATAACAAGAAATGACTTTTAAAGATTATATATATATATATATATATATATATATATATATATATATATATATATGCGGTAGTGGTGTAGTGGTAGAGCGCTCGCTTCATAAACGAGTGGTTCCGAGTTCAATCCCCACCACGTCCCTGGTAGTACCGCGCTCAACTCAACTCAACTCGTTTCTCCGCGCAGCGGCCTCGCTTGTCAAGGTTCGTGTTTCGGAGTTATAGAGTTGAGAGAGGGTTATAACCACAAATAAGTAGCCTCCTCGTCTGTAGTGGCCTTCTCGGCCTTGAGGAGGTGAATTAAAATAAAAAAAAAAATATATATATATATATATATATATATATATATATATATATATATATATATATATATATATATATATATACATATATATATATATATATATATATATATATATATATATATATATATATATATATATATATATATATATATCAGGTCTTGTAAGGAAAAAAAAAGTAAGTAAATTTAAGTCGTATATATTTATATATTGTTATTTAATAATTGATTATCATAATCCCTTTGTAATATATTTTGTTAGACTTAATAAATGAAGGAGGTAGATTAATCAATAACACTGATGAAAGTCTGAAAATGTGTGTATAGTGGGCTGGAACAAATATTGCAGTAATAATAGGTATTGGAATATCAGATTATAAATGCCATATCACAAATATGGTCATAGGAAACAAAATACATTAATTACACAGACCAATGGAACAACTAGTTTTCTACCAGCATCATGTTTTTTAGGACCAAAATAAATACAAAATAAATTTATTACAATTAATTACTTACTTTGAGCTGAAATTTTAAGTACTTCAAATGGATCTATAAAACAAAGTTATTTATTTATTAATAAATAATACAGTTAAACTACTACAACTAATTAAACCTAAAAACAAACGAAGTACAAATTACAAAAAAATGTAATGAAATTGTGCTCATAAGAAAAACACACAAGTATATTTTTTATATAAATTATGCACAATATACAAGTATATTGTGCATCTTTTGATGTCTGGACTTATATTTGATATATACATTTTAGCCATACTAACTGGAACTACTAATATCATTTGTTATATATACATAGTAAAAATTAAGACTAATAGTTTTGGCTTTGTTCAAAAAAAAATGTTGAAAGAACTTCAGTCCTTACTTCTGGAAATGTTGTTTACATGTTGTTCACTAGTTTTTTACTAAATTTTTTGTTAATGAACATGTTTTTTTTCCATAACTTCATTTTTTAGCATTTTATGAGAATGATATAATGATCTTCAAAACTAGGAAACTTAACAATAATTGTTTGGTTTGTACATGGAGGTTTTACACATGGAAGCTGTGTAACAGAAACTAATTTAAAATTATTTTTATCTTTACAGTGGCAATTTAAACAATTCATTCAAAACATACAATAGAAATAAAATTGCCTACGCAAAATGAAGTTTTATAATCCATAGAAATATAGTGCAATTAATATAGTGTGATCACCTAAAAAAATGATGCAATAAAGCTTTAATTTGATGATTCGCATGCATTTTTTATTAAATAACTTTTAAAATCTCTCAAAACATAGAAAATAAGATCCTTTATATTTTAAAAAATATACCTTGAAATATTTTATTTCCAAAATAAATACAAGTGTTTCAGTTAAAAATCATACATCCCACTGTCGCAGCACTAGCGCACCCCCTGCTACAAATATCGCAGGGGGCCCCATGCTGCACTAACCCCCCTATTATGAGAGTTGCCAAATTTGGCAACTCTACCCTATTTATATATCAAAGTATTTAGTCAAGAGAAAAGATCTTGATCAGTTGGAAATGTGGTATTACTCAAACAAAACAAGAAAAAAAGCCATGATATTTGACAGAGATTAAGAAGAGGTTTTTCAGAGAAGATTAAGGTGGTTTGTGCAATGTTTAGTAATAAGGATACAGATGATATAAGTATCAGTATGTAGAAAGGTAATAGCTTCAGAAGAAAAAAGTAGAAAAAGGTAGACGTAAGAAAATTTGGAGAGAGTTACATATGGTATAAACAAGCTTCAGTTTGAGAAGCTTGAGATTTTATATAAGAAAAACAGCATAAAATAGAGGGCTAAAGCAATGATGATGATGGTGACGATGGTGATGATGATGATGATGATGATGATGATGATGATGATGATGATGATGATGATGATGATGATGATGATGATGATGATGATGATGATGATGATGATGATGATGATGATGATGTCACAAAAATAACCCTGGCTATCTAATCTGGCCCTTGCCCTGGTCAAATATCAACCCTTGCTTTTTAACCAAGTTATCAGTATATATACAACAATTTTCCATTAAGTATTATATAGTTAAACTAATAAAACAAATTTGATGCAGAAAACTAGAAAAACAAATTGTATTGTAATGTATAACATAATTAAAACATTAGACATCATTTTTTGAGGAATATACTGTTAGTTCACTTAAACTTAGGAATTCTTAAATATAAAAGCAATTTTAATCACTTGTTTTTAAAATTAAATGATTCACATAAAATAGCTCTTACCAGGTGGAAACTCATCTTCTTCTTCCACATCATCAACTTCAACATCTCGTTGTGATGGATGCATTGAATGAAAGAAACCAATTTATTACTTTTGATATGGATATTTACAAAAATTTATACAGTCTTTAAATAAAAAAAGCATATTATATAATATGCTTTAAACATTGTATAAACATTCCCTGTACTAACCATATGATTTGATAATGTATATAATGTACATCCTTAAAAACAATTTGATCACAGGCATAAAGTTTAATTATTATTTATTACTACTTACTTATTATCCTCGATGACATTTTTAACTACAGAAATGTCTAGTTTAATATAAAGTGAATATCTGCTTAGGATTCTGAAGTTTTAATAAAATACAGGTTATGATATGTTAATAACATTACTTTTAGTACTCCAATATGGCAAAACCATTAAAAAAAACAAGATTTTTACTGCACTCTATTTTTTAAAATTGATAGCAACTCTATATTTTGACAAACTTTTTATATATGATGAAACAACAAACTTTTTTAAAAACTTAATAAATTTATAAAATATTACATTACTTATAATGTTCATATAAAATAAAATTACAAATTTGTTAATATTCAATATTATATTCTAAAGATTGATGTTTTTATGCTCATATGTTTTTATAACTAGTTATAAAATGGATGTTTTACAAACATATGAACTATAATTAATTTGTATAAAAATTCAACTGATATAATCATCAAATCTAATTGATTTGATGATTATATCAGTTTATCATTATTGATTGATTATCAATCGCACCATCAAATTAAATAAATTTCACTATCATTTAAAAATTACATTAAAGAATAGCTTATATAAATTTTTTTTAAGCCATTCGTTAATATGATTACAATTAACAATTTTTTAATTTATTCACGAGGGTATGAAAAGATTTATATTTAATTCATTCATTATTTGTATACATTAGATTTTATTTTAGGTCATTGAGTAGTACCAACATCCTGAAATAAGGTCTTATAAATAAAATGATGAATGAAATCATATTTGACTTGAGCGAATTACTTGGCTCATAACAATTACTAATGATGATATTGATGGTGATGTATTGTTTTTATTCTGCAAGACTTTTGCTTTCGTAGATGCTGATGCACTAACAAGACAATCTTAGTATTAAATTTTTTATTAAATTTATTAAATCAATAAACCCTGGACACGACACTAGCCATTTCCAATAGGTATGTTTGATCAGATCTATATTTTTCATTAACATTTTTATATATCATATATAATATATGCGGTAATCACATCTATTTTAATTTAAGGTATTATTGCGAGTATTGGGTAAAATGTTATGCATAAGGAGTTATTTTATTTCCAACCTTAGATAAAAACATCCTCTCCCCAAATTTCTAATGGTTTCTTTTAGATATTGTATTCAAATATTAGATATATTTTATTTTATCTATCATTGCAAGGTTTCAACTCAGAGCACGCGGAAGGATTAGTTTTGCTCCTATGGATGTTTATACTTTAACAAGGCAAGATTAAAGCTATTAGAATACATTTATCTAAAGTTTGATTATATTTATTAGCGCAGCAATAACAATTGAATATTTATTATTCAGGACATGTCGCCTCCTATTTCTAATTGTTGTAGCATAATGATATATATTTTAGTCATCATTCCGTGGTGTTTATTAAAAAAGATCGATTTTTTCTATCTACGGATAGCTTTCGCTTCAAGAAATTAGATATTTTCGTATCTATAATTCTGAAAGAAACATTTAGCCAATAATAAAATGATTCTTTTAATTTAAATTTTTTACATACAAAGCATAAAAGAAATTACAATTAATACTTAATAGGGTATTTACGTGGCCCCCTCAATTTTATAGCAAATAACCGTTGTAAAATTATATATAAAAAATAGTGCTGTTATGACTATTAAATTATTCGACTGTCGACTAAATTGACTAATATATTTCGACTATAACCGACTATAACATTAATCGACTATAACATTATTCGACTAAAAGTCGATTTATTTGAAATATGGGAATTTTTTTTTTTTTTTTTTAATAAATTGTTATAAAAATTAAAAGTCCGTTACAATCGGATCGGAAACCGAATTTATCCGAACCCAAAACTGATTAAATAAGTTGAATAGTCTTCTGCTTTTGCAAACATATTGACTAGTTTTTTTATATACTTTCGCGTGTTTAATACAAGGGAATTAGAGAATAAAAGGAGTGGTGGGAATTTTAGCCTAGATCTATGAAAGAGGAGAGGTGCGTGTCTTCCCAAAAAGGTGCCGGATATTAGGGTGGACAAATTATTTACAAATTATTTTGATCTTCTTTTTTTTTTACTAAAACCCTTTATATGTCCAAAGAATCACTTTGTATTAAGATATATTAGTTTTATTATAAATTTTAGTTAAATAGTTGCTAATTCTAAAAATTGTTTAACATCGTGGAACTGAATAATAAACTCTTCTGATGGAATAAACTTTAAATAAAAATTAATGCAACAAGCTTTAAAAATAAAAATACGCACTTACTTCAGAAAAAATGAAAATTTATCACTAGATTTGAAACTCTACTGTCGATAATATATATTAGATTTGAAGTATATAGATAAATGTTTAGAAATATATTGAAAATATAAATGAATATATAGATTTGAAACACTGTTATTGATATTATTAAAAGCTCACGACGTTTTGAATAAGTCTGTAGATTATTTATCATCTTTATATATAATAATGTATTTTTTTTATTTTTTATCTATTGACCGCACATTCTGGATAAATAATATTCTGGATAAATATATTATTATTATAAAGTCTACTGAGTTCTAAAGGTACTATGCCAATAACCAATAGGCACTCTTCATTTGTCACTATTTTATTTTAACTTACTTGTTTGTAAATACTATATCCTGTAGCACCATCAAATCCAGCCTTGCATCTAAACGTCAGTTTAGTTAACTCCTTAGAATTGTGATTAGCACAGTAGTTTGTATAACATATAGCTTTTAAGAGTGTGTTTTTTATAAGATCTTTTAGCGGTATTTGTACTGAATAGCCATCTATTTGAATGTTCTTGGGATAGCCTTTAACTTTTGAAGATTCTATACCATTATATAAAGGATATATATGGCAGCCGTTTTTTCAGCACCATTACTTTGAAGCTGGTATGTTGATTTTGATATATCATCATTAATAATGAATGCTAAAGCTTTTTCAGATTAATATTTCAAAGCAGTTTGTTTTTTTTATAACATAAATTTTTGCGCCAGTTTTGTATTTAAACTCACTTCTTAGTTTCAATTTTGTTGCATGAAATAATTTATGGCTAAATAAAATATTAAAAACACTGCTAAGCTTGTTCTTTTTGTTCTGTTAAAAGTTTTTTCAAAAGAGCAACATGGTTTCCCAACTTCATTAACTAGTGATATGGCATTTAATGTACTGTAGGTGTGTTGAAAATCTTGAGCTAGCGAATTTTCATTACTTCTCTCGAAATGAGTGTTATGATTGTTTGCAGCTATCAACTTTTTACATTGTAACTTTATAAAGTTTTACACTCAGAATCCTCTAGTTTAATATCTGCAGAAACTACACCTTTTCAAGATGTAAATGAGAACATGAAAGTTGTAATTAAGAAGTCATAATATGTAATTAAGAAACACAACATGTAATTGAGAAAACGTTATATGTAATTGAGAAACACAACATGTAAATAAGAAGTCGTAACATGTAGTTAAGAAACACAACATGTAATTGAGAAAACGTAAGATATAATTGAGAAATCATAATATGTAATTGAGAAATCGTAACTTGTAATTGAGAACACATAAATTAAAATAGCAAATTCACAGTCTAAGTTTGTAGGTAGTTACAAAAGGTCTTTTTGGACATGAATTTAAGTTATAATCTTAAATTTTGCTTTTGTATGCACAAGTAATAATAATGGAATTGAAAGATCGTTGTGTTATATGTCAATACACTATGACCCGAAAGTCTGTGATTAAGCTAAATCCGTGTCAACATTTATGTCACCAAATTTGTTTACGTCCAGTTCTGGAACAACCAGATTCAAGTTGTCCGATTTGTTTGTTTTTTTTTTTTTTAGTTTACAATGTTAGTCGTGATACAAAATAATATAAGTCGTGATATATAATAATATAAGTCTGATACATATATAATAATATAAGTCGTGATATATAATAATATAAGTCTGATACATATATAATAATATAAGTCGTGATATATAATAATATAAGTCTGATACATAAAAATATTTAAGACTTCTACAAGAAAAGAAAAAAAAAATGAGTATATATATATATATATATATATGTATATACAATTCAGCGTACTAACAATATAAGACTAGGTTTCCGAAAGAAGATCAGAAGGATCTTATCACCGGAACCTTAAAAAAGACATAATGCAAAGATTTAACATAATGCAAATATGCAATATACTAATACAATATAACATAATGCAAATATACAATATACTAACATTTTAATACTCAATATGCTGAAGATTTGAAAAATACATTTTACATAAATTTTTAGTAGAATTTTAGAATGTTGTCCATACAGAGAATGAAGTTTTTTAATTTAGTTTTAAAAACAGGAAGAGTAGTAGAAGGGTCAAAATTTGGTAATACTATTTTATTCCAAAGATGGGGTGCACGATATGCAATACAGAATTGGTTGAACTTCGTTTTACAAAATGGTTCATTTAGAAAACTATTACTTCTTAATGTGTATTTATTTATTGGTCCGATTTGTCGGCATGAAATGCCGACAAATCGGACACACAACTGAACAAGTTGAAAGGAAACGTTACGTTTTATCTTCTCCAAATGACAGGAGAAGAGTTGTTGAATGTGCGGAGCGATTTGAAGATTGGGTGAATCTCGCGCAAACGCTAGGTATCAAATATAAGACAGCATACAATTGGGTTCGCAGCGGAAATTCAAATTTCATCGGAAAAGGAGGTTTTAAATCGAAAAAGTTGACCGAAGATCAAATCGAAGAAACATTAACATGGATTGAAAATGATTGTCAATTAACATTAGTGGCCATCAAAACAAAGATATTAAGACAATTTAACATAAACGTTAGCACAACAACAATAGCAAATTACCTCGAAGGCAGATTGTTCTCATTAAAAAAGTGCACAAGGAGCCTTCTACAATGAACAGTTATGAAAACAAAACAAAAAAGAGCTGAATATGTTAGAAACTTCAACGAACATATCACAAATGGT